GTTACAAGTAATAAAATATTATTAAAAAGCACACTGTAACACAGCATAAAATTAACAAAATAAAATCAATTGCTTACGCTAGGAAACATTTTTCCCATTTAAAATTTGAATAAAAAAACAAAAAGACTCCTAGCACATATTTGATCTCATAAAAAAATTTTAAAACATAAAGTTTTGAAAAGATTTATCATGAAAAAAAATATGAAATCGAGTGCTACCCCTTTCCCAATGATAATTGTGAGTTTTTTTGAAACCTGGGGGAATAACCCTACTGCCCAAAAATTTCAAAACCTTTATACATCCATAAAAAGCTCTCCATGCTCACCCCCAAGTTAGGAAAATAGCCCGTCGTATCCCTTTACCCTTTTGCAAAACCCATAAAATCCCTTAATGTAAATTTTGGTAACCCCACCCAAATCTCTCTCCCATCTCCCTCCATTTTCACCCCTTTATTTCTACACTTGGGCCTATAAAAGTTGCTGCCAATGCATTAAATTTTTGCACCACTCCGCCTCCCCCAAACCCACACATGTATATATAATGTAAAACATATCCCAAACGCATTCTCAACCCTTTTTTTCACCCCAGTTTATCTAAAAATTAAAACCTCAAACCCGAAACCCCTCCCCCCCCTAAAACCTTAAAAAAACCCTTTCCCATCCCCAAACCCCCTTTTAATTCAAAAAAATCGCAAAAAAAAAACCGTTGAAAATGTCGCCATCCCCCACAAACCCTGCATTCCCCATCCCCCTATTCTCTTTTAGAATAAAACCATTCCTGCGGCAAATTCCAAAAAAAACTATCTAACTCTTTACTTTGGGTTTTAAACGAAATTTTTTAAACGCCCCCAAATATTTGCCAAATAAACACGGTAAACTCCTTCTACCCCGCCCAGACCCTTTTCCATCTCCCCTACAAGATTCTAAATTTTAAATTTTGGGGGGAGTGATCCCTCACGTTTTGAGCCCCGTCATTGCCTCCCCATCTGAACCCCCGACCCCCCCCCCACCGTCGCAATCCTGATGTATCCTATGAAGACCGTCTTTTTTTCCCCCCTCCCCCCCGCTTATAACTATTTTTTTTAAATCATATTTTTCCTCTTTTCGACTTATAAGACCCACCCCTCCACGGAAAACCCGGGAGTGTGACAACCCCCTTATTTAAACCATTCCCCCCTGTTCCCCCAAATGAATCTAAAAACATTTTTTTTGAAACCCTTTTTTTAATTTTCACAACAAGTATCGAAATTTTTCCCGAAAAACAGCCTATTTTACAAAATTTAATGCACTTTCGTTTTTATCCCCTTTGGCAAACAAATTTTAGCAGTCTCAACCCCACAAGACGCTTCGAACACTTAAACGTACGCACGGAATTTATTTGTTTGCTGACTTGAATCATTTACATAAACATCCCACTCCTTTTTTTGGGTCCACCCTTTCCCACCTTTCAGCTACCATTCCTCCTCCCGACCCTTTTTCCAAGATTCATATACTTTGTTTTCCTCATTTTGATCGTCAGCCGTAGCCTTTTAAAAAACTTTCACTAATTTTCTACCCAAATAAATCCATGTTTTCTCTCCCCAAAAAATCGTGTGCGTCACATACCAACAAGCCCCTCCCCCCCCCCCTTTACATTACTCATCCCTTTTGTTTCCCCAAAAAAAACCCTTATCCCTCTATAAAAGGGGTCTTGAAAACAAGAAAAAAAAATTTTTGTGAAAGGGGAAAACCCTTGACGCAAACCCTTCCCCATCTGAATCCGATCCCCAACCTCCCATTCACCTGACAGCAAAGATGCCTTTGAACATTTTTTTGGGCCATGATATAATTTCCCCCCCAAAACCCCTGCCATCTCATTATTTTCCCATAACGTCTCCCGTTCCACACTATCATACCCGCCTCCCAATCTATGCCAATCCCCCCCCATCCCCCAAATCTTACCTTTCTTCAATAAAACTTCTAATCAAACCGTGCCTTATACATAGACCCCCCGGCCCCCCCAAATTGTCCCCCCGAAATTCACTTTCCCAGGACTTTTTTATTCTTTTGGCCAAGACCTTTCCAAAAATTTTATAGTCCCCACATAATAACAGATTGCACGATAATCTTTAACCGTTAATGGGTCCCTTTAGGAACTAGGACGCCACAGCCCAAAACCCTTTGTTTTCCCCTAAAACCCATCCCCTTCATGATATTGAAAAAACGTACCAAAAAACCCCTTTAAAACGTTTCCAATTTGAAAATAAAAGTGCTGGGCAACCCCCTTTCCCGGGGCCTTACCCAATTGCGCCCAAAAAAGCTCCCAAGTCTCACACTCCTTATCGGCCCCCCAACATCAAACGATCTGTCCTCCACCCACAACGCACAAACCTACCGATTGACTGCAATGCAATTTTACTTTTTCCAACACTTGGTTTTTTTAAATTTTAAACCCCAAACATCAAAAACCCAATCAACCTCGTCGTCGTCAACACCTATTCCCTTTTTACCCTGCATACCTACCTGGACATTCACCCCATTAACTCCATTGCTTTGCGACGTCCTGTGTTGATTTTCCCCAAAAACACACGCCGACGGCCGATCTCCCCAAAAACCTCTTTTTCGATTCCACCCTTTAAACCTTTCCCCATCAAACCTTTCGTTTTGTAAATTATAGTTGCTCCCCAATTCGTTCATTTCGTAACAGGATAATTAGCATTCGCGTACATACGTCGCGCAACGCCCCTTTTAAATATCGTTGGAAAACCTACTGTAAGATTAACTCACTCCCCTGACTAAATAAATTCCTTTAAATTTGCTTTTGGCTATCATTTTTTCCCACCAATTTTAACCAAAAAACTCTCCAGGTGTTCAAAACCCCAGGCGTTCCCAATATGCCCAAAGAAAAAAGCCTTTTCCCCTCTCTTTTAATAACTTTACATTTAATTTTCCCAAAAGACGGACCCCTTCTAGGCACCCCTCAAAATTTTACATCCATTTTCAACTCTCTATGTCCGAAAAAACCCATTTACCACTCACTCTCCGCACGTAAACCCCACTAGACACGTACTTTTTATCTAATTCGCCCCCCATAATCTTTCTAATGAAAGTATCTCCACATTGCCACCCCCCCCCACCATCCCTTAAACCCACACCGTCAATAAATCTCCCCGGAACCCCAAAAGCAAAACCCGCTCCCCGAGGCTCCACTCTTTTCGTCGTATTACACAATTTCCCTCTCCCCCCATTTTCGCTACATTTGGGAAACCGTAGATTAACTAAACATCTTTTCAAAAAGATTTTAAGTCGTGCATCTCCCTCGGGCCGGCCCTATCACCTAAAAACTTTTATGACTCTACCCCCTAAACCATCCCCCAAACACCCCCTCCCCCCTTTCCATGGCGTACTACAAAAAGGGCTTTTTCCTTTTCCGAATGGCGAGCCTCCTTTTAACCTCGTGCATATTCCCTATCACATCGAACCATCTAAATTCCAATTTATACCAATTCGAATTGGTTTTCTTGGATAAATACCACATCCACATCTAACGCACCAAAAATTCATTAAACCCCTTTTGCTTTTCCCCTCAGATCTCAAACCGTTAAATTTTTGTCAAAACCTTAAAGTCAATTAATGGGATTTTCCTTTTGGTTTAGTATAACTTTTTACTTATACATTTTACACCTCTATCCCCTCCCCTTTTTTGGGAATCACCTTTAAAACCTTGTTTTGTGGTTTTTTGTTCCCCTTTTTTCTGTACACCGCCCAAGCTTTTTCCCTGGCCTTTGGGCAGGAGTGACACGTCGTCTAGCTGGTGGGGTCGCGTTCGCTTTCGCTCCTACCCTCCCCTGCTTTGGGGGATTTCTTTAGTCTTCAGATGCCCTCCCTTTGCTAAAATTTTTCCTCATGCCATGCGAACCCCGATCAATCTTTCATCCGCGCCTCCCATGATGCCAACCGATCCCTTTTTTGCCCGGGGTTTCCTCCACAGGTTGACGATCGACTGTCAAAAATACATCCAGTCCCTTTCACTAAAGACCCCGCCATCCTCGCCCCCATAGGGGGGGCAAGCTTTTCAAATACTTTATTTATACCAGTGAGGGTTTTTCTCTCGCTGTTTTGATCCTCCAAAGCCTTCTCCTGCGTTTTTTTCTCCCTTCACCCCAAATGTCCGTTGTCGAGGGGTGAGCATAAGACGTTCTCGTCCCCCACTTGCTCGACTTCTCCGGGTTTGTTGCTGGTGCGATTTTTGGGAGATTCCTCGACCTTATCACACGTGCCGCTATGGGTATACGATCCACACAGCCGCCGTACGACTTGCCCCGCATATGTTACATAACCTGATTCAAATGCGCAACATAATATGGGGACGGTAGGGGATGGCGAAAGGGTCATTTTGACTGAATTGTTCCCTCCAAATTTCCCAGCATAAGGCCCAGCGGCCCACCGACCTGCAAGGCCTATGAACCGTACATAATTACGTGTTCTCTTTTATAAAATTCATTCCCCTAAAAAGGCACATTCCTTATTTTAACCCAGTGTAGTGTCGGATAATTTAACGTACTGATACAGCTGAATTGACGCTATAAGGGCTCTTGTATTATCCACCACCGCTTCATAAACTTTGCTGACTCTTTTTAAAACGAAGTTTTCCGTGTGTCCCTTTTAGTGCTACCCCACTATCTTCATTTGCGATACCGTAGGTTTCAGGGATAATCGGGGGAGTAACAAGTCCATCGTGGCTCCAGTGACACCCCACGGGTCAACTCCGCAAACAGTGTTGACCCCGTCTTAGCTTGCAGCGCTTTTGGGAAAATGAGCAGCGCACTCTCACTTCTCTGGTTGTGACAAAGAGGTAGTCCCCTAACAGCAGAGGGTGCGCGCACAATTCACTCGACCGGGTCAGGCAGCGAATGAAAAATGTGGAACGCTTACATTTTGCGTGTCATCCTTGCGCAGGGCCATGTAACTTCCGTACTTTTCCAATTTTAGTATATGTACGCCAAACCCAATACAAAAAAAAAAATGGGGAAACGCTTCACGTTTTTTGGTGTCACCCCCTTTGCGCGGGGGCCCTGCTAATCTTTCCTGTATCTTTCCAATTTTAGTATATGTACGCCGAAGCAAGTACATAGGGTTTTTGGTGGTTCGGTGGCCTTGCTGCTAGTGAAACTCCATGTCGGGAATTTTGGGCTACGCTTTTTGAACAACCCAATTCCCTCCCTTCCTCAGGGGCTGTAAACCCCCTTAAGGTTAATGCCCCCCCATCATTAATGTGGGGGGGTTTAGTGTCATTAAGACCGACGACACCAGTTTAACTTCAATGATACAGTGATTGTTTAAAGCTAATATTTTTCCTTAATAATTTCTTGATCGTCACTCAAAGTGAACCCTCTCATGATTACCTCAGTGAACACCTCTCATGATATACGTCAGTGCACCTCTCATGTATCGTCGTGAACCCTCTATGATATACCTTAGTAAAACCCCTTCAGATATGCCCTAACACCCCTCCTAAATTACGTCAGTGAAAATCTCAGATATCCTTAGGAACCCCTCTATGATATGCCTCAGGAACACCTCCATGTATACTCAGTGAACACCTCCAGTTACACGAAAATATTCACAAGACATATGAATACCTTATGATTTACACAAGTACATTTGATGATATACCGAGACATTTTGTAAAATGAGAGTACCTCTTCGTACCGGGTGTGTTGGTATCTGAGGTTGAACTTCGTTATTGTCTAAATATTTTAACTTCGTACCCAAAAAGCTTTGTCCCCGGCCAGTATTGGATAACTGAAATGTAAACATTAAAAAAACGGAGCCGGTTAACATCAGTAAAACGGCAAAAACCGAACCGTAATTAATATTTTTTACAATGGGTTTTACATGTGATTTACCTGTGGTCATTTCGAGGGCTCTTGACCCCTGCAGCCACCTTTTATTACTGTCAAGTGAAAAATGTCATCTGATGTACATTATCACCAACTGGGGTTACCGCGCAATTTGTTTTGATAAGTATGTGTAAACTCATCATTGCGTCTTACGGTGAACAACCCTAAGTTCCCCATTTTCAATGGTGTGAAATTTTGATCCCCCGAATATCACCCCAGCTTAAGTTCCACTTAAACCAATATATTAAGAGAAGGGGTGACAAAACCCTTCAAAACAAGGTGCTAAGCCAATGATGATTTTTTCAAGTCGTTCCTTCTCTTTTGTTGGAATATTGCTGTGTACAAACGGCTTCCTAAAAGGCAAGCGAAAACTGCAGAACTAGAAATTGTAAGTGAACCCTTTCACAGCTCACAAAACTCACCGAACATTAAATAACTGGGAAAACCCTGTAACTCTCGAGTGTACTCACTGAAAGGGGGCAAAAGATACTGATACTACACTTGGAAAGATTCGGAGGATTATCCTAAATATGAAACGCAAAAATACTACAATAATAAAAGGGCTTGGCAGAAGGTGCAGATACCCTGGAGTGAAAAAGCAGAAAACGGAGTACAGAGAATTTAAATAAGTTTTAAGGGCCACGACTCTAACACCTTCCCCTCGTGATAAGGGTTTACCAACACCCCTCTGGCTATCTTCGAAAATAAACTTATAAATTCGTTACAGCACTTCCTAAATTTAGCCAGGCTGTGGTGCCTAAGAGGGGCTGGGGCATAGGCATCACGGCTTGACCCCTAAAGGGGTAAAACTGTTGACACTGGTGAGGGGCTCTTGATCTAGGGAATTGGATCGGGCCCCCGGGTTTCCCTTTGAATTGAGCCAAAATCCTTCCCATCCCCCCACATGCGTTTATAACCCTACAGGTTTAGCGCCCCCATTTTATAATAATAATCAAATTTGACGATCAGGCCAGCCCAGGAGGCCTGTCGGGACCGGTCCTGGGGCGGTGACCCCGGGAAGCTCACGGAACCTACAATTTATCTTTCTTTTCTTTTTCTCACTCCAAACTTTCCCTGTCGCTCCAGATAATTCTCATCACCATTCCAAAAAACCCCCAATATACCTCCACCCCTGCGCATCTTCCAAAAACCTCTCACATCTGTAAATCTTCCGACCTGGAAACTAACCAGCATTTGGGCCCACACCGCGGGGAACTTATCACCCCCGGGTTAGAAAACACACCTTGACGGTGATATTTCCAGAACGGCACCATAGAAGCGCAGGTTTCAAATTACATCCACATTCTAAATTTTTCACACCGGGACAAAAGAAACCCATACAGACAGAACGGGGAAACCCTAAACACTAACACACCCCTTCCAAACCCCGGGAAAAGTAAATTCATAATTTTCATCAAAATTTAAAATAAAACCTTTAAAAATGTTTGTAATAAAAAACCCTTTAGAGGGGGGGGGGGTTTTTTTCAACGAATAGGGGGAAACCCCAACAAGACGGGAAAATTTAATCTTAAGCTTTCAAAGGGAATATTTTGGGATTGTGTAAGTTTTTTAAGAGCATAAAATTCCCACAAATAACATCGTGTATTAGCCTCATAACCTTATGTGTTACATGTACACTATTAACGCGACAGCATATCTATCGTTGGAACCCCCGAGAGTTCACCAAACACCGCACTTAGCAGAGGAACCTCACGGAACTTTCCCGCCGGTGGTTCTTGTAAAGTCAATTGACCTCCCCAATGGTCCAGGACTGAGGGAAACGTCATCAAAAAGTGTCACTGCTAAAAACGGTTTTGGTGAATTGTTCCACCTGGTCACGACAGAGCCGCGGGGGCTTTTGACCCCCTAACCCACCCCCTCCCCTCCAGGAAACTCTGGGATACGGTTTGGGCGTTTTTCTGTTTTTCGAAATGGAGTTTCGGGGGGGGGAAAAGATGTTAAAACATCAGAAAAGGGGGCAGGCCCCAGGTAATGCTTAACTTACAAATGGAAAACGTCGAGAATAACAGTGAAAGGCAGATGTGGCTGAAAAGAGTACGTAACCTTTTTTTCGGCGCAGGGAAACACCCCTCATTTACGCTACCCCCCCAACCCAGGAACCGGGTTGCTAAAGTTGTAGGGGGCCCCCATCGTTCAACTATGCCCGGGTTCTAGCCAAAAAGAAGGGGATTGAAATCGCAGATTATTGGTTTCCGCTTTCCCTGTCTCCCCTTTGTCATTCCCACTCAGAGCGGTTGAAGCAGGGTCTCTATTTGTGGCTTCAATTTTTCCCCTTGCTTTACCGTGGAGTGCCTTATTTATCACTGTACATATGAAATATTGCGTTATAATTGGTGTGGATAATATAATCTAAATTTTTTTCTACTTTTTATTTGTCCCATTACCCCGGGGATAACAGCCATTTGAAATCCTAGGTTGTAATAGGGGGCCTGTCCGAGAGCGGATTAGAGAAAGGTTGAGCTTAGGTGAACTTGTGCGGAACATTGTGTAGCTTGCTGTTTCGCTTCGCTTTACAAATTTTTTTCCTTTGTCATTGCTTATGATCAGCCTTGCTATTTTTGGATCGTTAACAGTCGCTACACTTGTTAGTGGCTCGTTCGCTACGGTCAATCGGGGTGTGCAGTCGGCTTTGTTTATGCGTATTCTGCAATCGTACTGTCAAAAACTAAGGTTTCTGCAAATTAACTGTTACGTTGGGGTATTCGTACTGTGCTACAAAAACTTATGCCCCCCTAGACGAGTCAGACGCCTGGTGCCGGCAATACTTTGCAAAACCACCTAAATTCCCAACACGTTGTTGGGCAATTGCTCGTTCCATTGGCTTTCCCCAAAAAACGCACTCTAAAAGCTCAAAACGCTTCACTATTGCTGACATACTTATTGAAAAAGAGAGGCACTCAAACTCCTCCCTTTACGGGGCTAGGGAAAAAACTACTATGTTCTCGCAGGGGGAAGATGATACACCACGGAAAATGGTCGTATAGTGCACTGGGTTTTTCCAGGGTAATCAGCGTCGTTGGCACTTGAGCTGGCAAAAATCACGTGGACAAACGGGGGAAACGGAGCATTCGAAAAGGGAAAAATTTTGATAGGGAAAGAGAGAGGGGCGTTTTCGCATTTGTAAACGATTTTAGTTTCAAAAAACAGACAGCTTGTTCCCCCTTTAATGAGGGCCCAACCAGAGCAATTTTTCGAAAGCTTCGAAAATCAGCTCGAGCTTGAGGTGGCCGGGAAAAGCACTGGGGGCCCTTGGTTCATACAGATTTTTGGGTAAGGGACAGGGAAATTTTCGTCGGTATTAACTGACGCTGAATTTTCTGATTTTAATATGAAAACCACAGTGTTGGGGGGGCAATACATGTATCCACTAAAAATGTAAGACCCTTTAAAATTGAACAGCGGGAGCTTGGTCAATCCCCGGGGGACTTTGTGAACAGCAAACCAAAACTTTTACCAGTGGTAAAAGGAGTGGTTTTCAACTTTTAGGAGCTGGTGCGCTTTTTTCTGATTGATAACCTCTGAGTCTGTGGGACCAAGGTTCGTGTTTTCTGCAGGATCGTGACTTAACCACGCTTGGAGGCGGCCAGGTTGGGCTGATACCTTCGAAACGAAACCCCCTCCTTTTCCAGCGTCCCTCTCTCTTTTCAACAGTCTGGCTGAGCAGGATCGACAACATTGGAGAAGAATGCCGCCCCAGGGGGCGTCTACGCATCCAAACCAAATCACCTGGTGAGCCACGCTTTTTAAAATATGGTCCCCTGCGGAGAGGGAAACTACTTATGGAGCTCCGACAACAATATCCCGGAGGCACCAGCCAAACGACACCACTTTCAACGTCATCAGGGAGTAAAGGCAAGCCTCGTCTGCTTTAGGTGCAAAAAAGTATCACTCAGTTCCAACGCCCCAAAAACCTCAACCCATCGGGGGAAAAACTCTAATACCCCAGTAACATGTCCCCCCCGAGAATAGAAAAAGGGAGGCCCCTTTTTATTTCGAAAGTTTATTCCCTTCAGGAAAACCAGAACCCAAATAAAGTAAATCCTTTTGAGATACTGGAGCATATTGTCACGTCAGAGAAGGAAAATTTCCCCTTTCAAGAATACTTCCTTGAATTCCCAGTTTTTTGAACCTATGGAGGGCTTAAAATTCAGTTCCTTTGATAAAATTTATGTACAGTCAAATATTACACTGGGTACTTGACTGTAGG